TGCGCCATAGCCATAGACAGTTAGTGAGTGTGTATGTGTGTGTGCAGTGGTTGGCGTGCATGGTATCCAGGGTGATCCGGAGTCGAGTTGCGTGTGAACTCTGAGTCGAACGTGTAAGTGAGGGCGCCCAGCGCCATAGCCAACTGAAGTGAACTTGGATTTGAGTTGATTTGCAAGCTACCATATCTCCGAGTTTGAGTTGGGTGCACAGCGCCAAGTTATTCTCATCTGTTGCATGCATGTTTGAGTGTGAATTTGCAAGACTGATTTCACCTCCTCGTTCTGACCCTGGTTATGGGAGCTGGTTACAGCAATCCTGGTTATGGTGCCTGGTTATGGCACCTGTTTATGGCCTCGTTATGGTCTCGTTATGGTGAAGCCGGGCTATGGGGCCTGGTTATGGCACCTGGTTATGGGCTCGTTATGATGGGAGTCGGTTATGGGACCTGGTTGCCCCCCTGGTTAAGGGGTCTGGTTATGGCACCTGGTTATGGCCTCACTATGGGAGACGGTTATAGCACCTGGTTATGCGTGGGGCCCAGTTTTGGCCTCATTATGATGCAATGATGGCACCTGGCTACGGCAACCCTGGCTATGGTGCCTGGTTATCACGCTCCTGGCTATGGTGCCTGGTAGGTTATGGTACCTGGCTATGGCGCGTGGGTGGTTATGATACCTGGTTATGGCGCGTGGGTGGTTATGATACCTGGTTATGGCGCGTGGGTGGTTATGGTACCTGGTTATGGCGCCTGGGTGGTTATGGTACCTGGTTATGGCCTTGCTATGGCTGGGGGCAGTTATGGCCCCTGGTTACGAGGCCTGGTTATGGCACCTGGTTAGCCCTTGTCCTGCTGGTGCATGGCTCCTGTTTACGGAAATCCTGGCTATGGTGCCTCATTATCGCGCTCCTGGTTATGACCCCGCGTCATGCCGCCTGGTTATGGCACCTGGTTACGGCCTCGTTATGGTGGTGCCTGGTCATGCGACCTAATTATGGCTCTTCCATTTCTTTGTTTCCATGCTGGACTTTGTTGCCTGTTGCCTTCTGCGACCTACGTGTGAACATTTCCTCGTACTGCTGACCTCCTTGCAGTCACTCGAGCTTTTCTACCTTTTGTGTGCGCTTTCCAAAGATTGGAAGAGCGCTGGAGACTTGTCAGTGTTGTGCACAACAGGATTTTTTGAGCTCCCGTCTTCAGATCGACCAGTTCCAGCTGCCGCCCATCGAGAAGGTGCTACTGCTCCACTTCTTGTGCTCTTCCTCTCTGCTTCCCAGCCGCCTTTTTCTCCTTGGCTGAAAAGCCGCTCAAGATTTCTTACGACCACAAGTACATCCGAGCCTTTTTTTGTGCCGACGCGGATTCCTACTGCAGACCAAGGTTCGCTTAAACGCCAGCGTGGCGATTGTTCGATTTTTTTTCCCGTTCTTTCGACGCGCGCCACCAGCCATTTTAGTCCGGGTAACACTGTTCGTCCGAAACTTCTCATCAGGACTCATTTCTCAAGTTTGCCTGGGCGGTGCACTTGCCGTTTAAGGGCTGAAATCCTTCCTCAAAACCTTGAACTCCCTGAACGAACACGGGTTAAGATTTCCGAGCATGGTCTTGATGCGCTTACCTGTCTGGAAGCCTCGTCACCAGGGACTGTTCGTCTGAAACTTCTCATCAGGACTCATTTCTCAAGTTTGCCTGGGCGGTGCACTTGCGGTTTAAGGGCTGAAATCCTTCCAAAAAACCTTGAACTCTGTGACCGAACAAGGGTTAAGATTTCCGAGCATGGTCTTGATGCGCTTACCTGTCTGGAAGCCTCATCACCAGGGACCCATGCCGGATTGGATTCACAAACTCGCCCAGATGATAGTCGCCAACGAGCTCCAATCTTCCTCGCTCCTCGTCTGAAGCCGCGTCACTATTTTTCCTAACTGTGCAATCACACACACACACAAACACACACACACACACACACACACACACATACCAAGGTCATCAAACACCCGAATGTCAGTTGACAACAACTTAAAAGTACACTTCCCATTCCTCTTCCTCCTCTCACCTATGCTAGTGTTTTTTTTTTTTTTTTTTTTTTTGTTTTTTGAGACACTTGGGTGGAGGAGACCACTGGAGAAGGTGATATGACCCCTACGCTAGCTTCTTTCAAAGTCATGTCATACTGAATCATTACTGATCAAACATTGGTCTGTGATGTGTGGATTCTTTTTAAGTGATGTCATCTCCACATCACAAACTAAGACATGACGGCCACTCAGCTGCGCTCTTGTGGTTCTTTGAAGGTCATGACATATTCTTTGACGGGGGTTTTCGAAGCAATGTCATAGTATTGGTATTGGCCTAGTTCTTTCGAAGTCATATTTGATGTGGTGATCTAACTTGTACACATTCTGCTCATCCCCCCTGGTCACTGGAGACGCACTGGAGACAATCTCAAGCTCTAATCAAGACACTTGGACGCCAATTCTCCAAGACTTTTTTCGTTTTTTTGTTCTTCAGTCTGAAGTTCTGAACTCCTTCCAGACTCTCTCTCTCTCTCTCTCTCTCAAGCACATACAGACACTAAGAGGAACGACACGAACATGATGCTCTCTCTCTCTCTCTCTCACACACACACACACACACACACACACACACACTTATTGGCAGCAGCAAGGACCCAGCTCACATCGAATTAAAATAAATAGAAAGGTGAACAGCCCCCGAAAGGACATTCAGAAACCAACACAAAGCATTGGAGGCAACCCATGACGCATCTTTGTGTAGTGCAACATGATACATAGCACATGGTCTTTATCCAGAACGGAATAGCGTGCTCGGTTTTCCTTCCCTTTTTTTTTTTCTGTTCATCTGCAGTGATCGTATCTGGACTCGAAATTGGGTTTGCATTTCAACAGTTCAAGGGTGTACCATGTGATCTAGGCCTGTTGGTGTTAGAGTGTTCGTTTTGATTCTCTACTACGACGAATAAGGCAGAGCGATTTTTTTGGAGTAGGTTGCTGCTAAAGGAGGAGTCACTTTCCAGGAAAGGAATAACTGCTGCTCATCAAGACAGTTTAATTACGGCGTTTAATGTTGGCATGAATTCTTTCCTAATTTGGCCAGAATGATTCGAGACCTCACTCCGAGACTGGGCGACAAACACTTGACATTACAGGTGCACCCTCATATATTTCTCTCAACCAGTACTACCATCCCCCCGAATAGAACGTACAGTCATTATGGTTGTATCTGGACTGAAAGTTGCCCCAGATGCAGCTATAATGACCTTTCACACTTACGCTCTATTCAAGGGAAGACGGTAGAAGCCACATAACAGATGCAGCTATAATGACCTTCCGACGCTTACGCTCTATTCAAGGGAAGAC